ACTACTACTACTACTACTACTACTACTACTACTGAACACAATTCTTGCTACATGTATAATTTCTGTGTATAAAAAAAGAGCTCTTTTTGATCGTTTCACTGCTCCTATTATGATTATTACTGCTACTGCCAATAAGAATCCTACTAGTATTACTACTGCTACTACTACTGCTACTACTGCTACTACTACTACTACTACTACTGCTACTACTACTACTACTACTACTACTACTACTACTACTACTACCACTTCTACTTCCACTACTACTACTACTACTACGACGACGACTACTACTACGACTACTACGACTACTACGACTACGACGACGACCCTGTCTCCCAAAGCAAGCAGCCCAAGCTTCCTGTCTCCCAAAGCAAGCAGCAGCCCAAATGGCCCTCGATTAGTGCGGGCCTCGGCCCGGGAACCCCGGAAAAAAACCAGCTCCGAAATCCAAGAAAACAAAGAGCACGCGCAGAATAGACGTTAAGCGTCCAAGGCACCCGTAAGATGGACACTTAAAGGCTATGCTGCACGTGCGTGCCTTGTAAACAAATACTTTACAAAGGAAACGCCCGCAGAATAGACGCAACGCACCCGCAGAATAGACGCAAGCACCCTGTCAGCGCACTGTGTCCTGGGCAGGGGCGCGGAGGGCGCGGAGGGCGCGGAGGGCGCGGAGGGCGCGGAGGGCGCGGAGGGCGCGGAGGGCGCGGAGGGCGCGGAGGGCGCGGAGCGTGCAGAGGGCGGAGGCGCGGGAGCGCGGCATCCACGTGTCCCCATATCCCCTGCCCATCAACCGAATGTCACTCTCCCCTTCCGTGCCGAACCCGTCCGTCAACCTCCATCCATGGTCCACGCCTCCCCACATCTCAGCAAAATGTTCCGAACCCCCTTTCCGTCCGACCCTCCAAGGAGCGATCCGATAGCGCCTTCCGCATTGAAGCGCCAAACGAGAACCCAATTTCAGAATGGAAAAACACAAGAAAACAAAGAGCACGCGCAGAATAGACGTTAAGGCACCCCCCACCCCCGGGACCCCCCTGGACTGTTTCTCTGTCCCCACCCACCCCCACCCCCCCCCCTTCCCCACCCAGCCCACCCACCCCCGACAACCCCCCCCCCCCCCCAGTCGTCTGCTTCCCCACCGCCCGCTTACATGGGGGGGGGGGGGGGGGGGGGGGGGGGATTCATGGCTTGGGACCTGTGCGGCCGGCAAGGTATAAGGTTTTTAGAGTGTGTGTGACTCAAGCACTCGAACGTGTCCTCGAAAACACACTTTTTCAGTGTAGAAAAGTGCGTTTCCGATATGTTTTTTTTTGGTAAGGTCAGCGAAGAAAGCAAGCGAACTCATTTTCGAGAATGCACTTTTTTCATGTGGAAAAGTGCGGTTTCAGGTATGATGTTAAAGTTTGTGTGTGCGTGTGTGTGGCCGAAGCACTCCAACGTGTCCTCGAAAACGCACTTTTTTTGTGTACAAAAGTGCGTTTCCGATGTGTTTTTTTTGTCAGGTCAGCGAGGAAAGCAAACAAATCCATCCATCCGACTCATCTTCCATCTGTGTCTCCACTCACACACAATGGCGGAAAGAAAGCTTGGGAAGGGGCGGGGGTGGTGTGGGGAGAAAAGAGTGGGGTGGGGGGGGGGGGGGGGGGGTTGGTTGGGGTGGGGGGGGCCGGGGTGATGGGGGGAGGCCGGGCCGTGGGGGGGGGCGTGGGCTGGTGGGGGGGGGGGTGGGGAGGATGAGGGGTGGTGGGGGGGGGGGGCAGTGGGGGGGATTGTGGTCCTTTGCGGGGGGTGGGGGTGGGGGGGGGTGGGCGGGGGAGGGGGAGGGGGGACTGGGGGGGGGGGGGAGTCAGGGGGGGGGTGGGTGGGGGGGGGGGTAGGGGGGGGTGTATGGATCACAGAAACCGGTGGCGGTAACAAGTCCGCCCTATCCCAAAGCCACCCACTTACCAAACCCCAAACCCGGATGCCTCTGACTCCCATGCCCCTTGGAGACCCCCAAGCTCTGAGCAACCGAAAGCCCCTACTCCAAAAGCCCCAACAGCACACGAGCCTCATCGCGACCCCACTACACAGAACAATCCACAAGCTCTCAGCCCGAAAGCCCTAAAACCCCTTGAGCCTAAAGCCCTCAAAACCTCATAATCTCTCAAGCCCTCCAAACCCTAACCCTGCTGGGTTGCGCCAGGGCACCCTCGCGCTGAAGCAACTGCAAATGCTGCACCTGGGACTCTTCAACTCTCTCACCTCAAACCCTCTAAACCCTCAACCCTAGACCCGAAACCCCAAAACCCAATGTCCGCCCATCATCGAGTGTTTTTTGTTTTTTTTGGGGGGGGGGGGGGGGGGGGGGGGGGGGGGGGGTTCGTGGGCTTACAGCTCAGAGAACCATGGGTCTAGAGCTTCGGCTCCGGTTTTTTTGAGGGCTTTGGGGCCGAGGTCTTTTTGGAGTCGGCTCGCGCCTAGGGAATGCGTAAACCCTCAAACCGCACGGGTCTTTCATATTCTTTCTCAGTCTCTCAAGTCTTGCTCCTGCAGCTCTCCCTTGTAGCTTCGGTAGAGTTAGGGCTTAGGTCGTCAGGGCTCGGCATAAACGTCTGCGGGTACGAGCACTCTTTCAAGAGCAGCAGCCACCAGCGATGTGGGTTCACGAGGAGTATGATTGAATCACAGCGAGACCTCCAAGAGGGTAGCCCCAGGAATTCTTCAGGTATGTAGTAGGAACTTCAGGCACCCAGTACTCGTTAAAGTTCCAACAGAATGTCTTGTAGCACATTTCCTGCATGACAGCTGACATCGCAGAAGCCACCTAGACGAGAAAGAAGATGGACACAAAAGCCGGAAACCGAACACGAACCCCCTAAAACCCCAAACCCCAAACCCTAAAACCGCAAGTAGCACATGTGCGATGGCCCTCGCATTATCTAAACCTGGAAGCCGCCATGCAAGCCTAAGACGTTGAAACCACGGACAACGAAAACCATAAATCTCCGTGCATACAGAAATATGTGCACACACATGTGTTTTAGGGTTTAGGGCTGAGGGCGTGTATACAAGTACATTTCGGTTTTCATCTAATTAAGTACACAGATGCTCTTGTGCATGTGACATCAAAAAGCTCCACTCCACGCCCAGTAGCACACGAAACTCCTCCCCAAACCTTGTGTTATGAGCAGCTCTCTAAAGAGGACCCTGCATCCCCTAGCACCTCTAGCCGTAACCCTGGAACCCTAAACCCTAAACCCTAAGCCCCCTGACGAAAAACCCTACGCAATAACCCTAAGCAATAGCCCTAAGGCCACGCTAAACAAACACCTATCCCTAAGGGTCCATGTACCTTAGGGTTTAGGGTTTAGGGTTTAGGGTTTAGGGTTTAGGGACCTCCTTGCATACTTGGGGCCCCAAAGTCCCTATATATGAGGAGCTTTAAGACCCAAGTCTGCCCTATTTAGGTACGTGGACTCTTAGGGCAAGATTCCTAGGATGATGCCCCTCTGAATGAAATATCCTGACCATGATCCTGATTCAGCCAATAGGGGAAAGTATGACATAGCCCCAAGAACACACCTAGTTTCCTACGTAACGCCCACTTGAGGTGGCGGCAGCGGCGTCCATGGCGATGCAGCCAGCGGCGGCATCCGCTCCGTGGCTCTGGCTACTGGTTCCACTCTCGACTTGACAGCAGAAGTGTGGGGTTCAAGGCTTAAAGTGTTAGGGTTAGGGTTTAGTTAGGGTTTAGTTAGGGTTTAGGATGTTAGGGTTAGGGTTTAGTTAGGGTTTAGGGTTTAGGGTTTAGGGGTTAAAGGGTTCAAGATCCGGCATGTAAAGGCTTAGGGGCTCAAGGTTTGTTGGCAGCGTATATATATATATATATTTTTTTGTTTTGTTTTGATATGGTCAGTTCTGTAAATTGGGTTCCCTTGTTGGGTGCCGGGGGCCGCCTTATAACAAGGACCCCAAAAGGGACCATATTCTAGAGAAATGACAAAATAGTTATAGTTTCAGGGTTCAAGAGTCTAAGCGGCGTTTAGGGGTTAAGGTGCGAAACCCTAACCATGTACACCCCTGAGGTTGTTAGTCTGGGCAGAGCCTTATGGGGTCTAGCGTTTGGGGTTTTGAGGCTCAACCGTCAAGTTCCAGTTCGGACCCTGCTCTTGGGCCTCCGATCGTTCGCGCATGCGAGCAGGCTTGGGCCGAAAATGGGCTCTCTAATGTGGTTGCTTCGCATCTTCACATGTCATGATGTTAGGCTTTAATTAGGGTTTATTGTTCAGGGCTTCAGGTTTTAGGGCTTACGTTCTATTGTTCAGGGTTTAGGGGTTAGGGTTTAGGGTTTAGGGTCTAGGCCATGTGAACATGAAATCCGCTCCTTACTTGCCTTTATAGGCTGGTCATGTAAACCTCTCTGAACAAGGTCCGACATAAGATAAGCCCTAAGAAGGAAATACAACTTATTTCAATCCTAAACTGGAATCAGGTACCATGATGGGGTAGCCTAAACAGGAACTGGATGCCGTCAATCAGCAGCAGGGCTGCAAGCAACAACGAATCTGCCACAACTTGCGCCAAGCTGTGAAGCATAAACCGAATCTGAATGACGGTGGGGGGACTTGCAGCTCTTTTGCAGGTTTAGGGTTTAGGGTTTAGGGTTTAGGGTTTAGGGTTTAGGGTTTGCAGGGCTGAAGTTTTTTGGTTTCGGAGGCAGCCCTCATGAAGACCCTATACCCTGAGCCCGAACTCCTCAAACCTCATAACCTGGGATGTTACCCCTGATACTAACAGTCTAACAGTTCTTGATAGGGAATATAGTACACCCTACTAGAGTCCCCTATTCAGGACTGTTAGTATAAAGGGGGAACACTAAGCCCTAAACCCTAAACCCTAAACCCTAAACCCTAAACCCTAAACCCCCCCCCCCCCCCCCCCCCCTAATCCTAAACATCCCAACTCAAAACCTCTATGTCGCAGCGTCCCTTCCAAAAGGCAGCCAGGCTTGCTTCATGGTTGGCACCACGCGTGGCCTGGGCTGTTGGAAGGGGTTCAGGGTTTAGGGTTTAGGGTTTAGGGTTTGGGGTTTGGGGTTTGGGGTTTGGGGTTTGGGGTTTAGGGTTGTTGGAAGCGTCCCCAAAGGGCCCTCATCAAAAACCCGAAATCTTAGCGTAGTTGGCCCCTTAGTATAGGCCCTGAAGAAGGTACCAGTACCCCTTATATGCCCCTTCTATACCCTTCTCAAAATTAACGAAGGGCCCTTACATCAGAACCCTTTGAAAGTTTAAGGGAGAGAATGGACCATACGAAGGGCCCATGAAACTACCCTTAGACGAAAGCCAAAAACTCTATCACCCTAGAATCCCTACAGCCCTCGAATCCCTCTGACCCTTGGTGTGTAACAAACATCTCTTTTTTCAGGCCCCTCAAGGGAACTTTAGTGGTTTAAGCATCATGGCTTTTGCCGGCCTTCCTGGGTCTTAAGGGGGATGTATATGGGGCGCTTCCAACTTCTGCCTCGCACACAAAAGCCAACTCTACCCCCTCCCCCTCCCCCTCCCCCCCCCCCCCCCCCACAACAAAAAAAAAAAACAACAACAAAAAAACCTAAACCCGAAACCGAAACCCTAAACTCTAAACCCTAAACCCTAAACCCTAAACTCCCCCCCCCCCCCCACTCTGAGCTCACGGCGTGAGCATGATCCAAGCCATCATCACTTGGACCAAGGTCTCGCCCTGTGCTCTGCGCCATTCGCATTTTTAGGGGGGGGGGCGGGGGGGGGGCTCAGGGTTTTAATGCTTGGGGTTTAGGGTTCAGGGTTCAGGGTTTAGGGTTTAGGGACACCCCCCCGCCCCCTGTATTTGGGTCTGTTCGGAGCTTCGGGGGGTGATGAGTGCAGAAAGCTTGAGGTTTAGAGCTGTGTTAGGTGAGGACAAGAGCCTCTCCAAAGCTTGGAGGCAGTCGGCCTACCTAGCATCTAGTGGCCTACTGTACCAAGGCTGCAGGCCTTTAAACTAAAGGATTCTTCTTCGATCATGAGGCCTTTCGCCAGAGGCTGCACAACCCAGCGATTTGGTCTAGCTCTGAAGTCTGATCCTCCGCACGCAACGATGCGGAGCGAAATGGAGACAGTCGGCATGCGTCCCCTAAACCCCAAACCCCAAACCCTAAAACCCTAAAACCCTAAAACCCTAAAACCCTAAAACCCTAAAACCCTAAAACCCTAAAACCCTAAAACCCTAAAACCCTAAAACCCTAAAACCCTAAAACCCTAAACCCTATACCCCAAACCCTGAACCCTAAACCCTGAGCCGTAAATCCTAAACCCTAAACCCTAAACCCTATTCCCTGCTTGGGAGGCAGTCCTGCCAGCCGCAGTCGAAGTTGGAGGCTTGCTGATGCAGCTCCTCTGAACTCTTGCATGGTTTAGGGTTTAGGGTTTGGGGTTTGGGGTTTGGGGCTACGGGTTTAGGGATTCAACAGAGGTTCTGGGGAGTTTCCGCTGGGGGCTTCCGTGGGTCGCCCCAGCTACTCTTCTAGGACTGCTTATGTGTTGCTTCGGTTCCTAAACCGTAGCTTAAGCCCCCAGAATCCAAAGAGGGGGGGACCCGAGGACAATGCTTGGCGCGTGCATGGGCGCTGATTGGAAATGTACAGCTCTCTGCGGGTTTAGGGTTTGGGGCTTGCAGTAGGGTCTTGGGACCCGAAACCCTAAACCCCTAACCCTCAAAACCCCCTACATCTGTAGGGTTTGGGGTGTGGGGGCTGCCAACCATCCCCGCTCCACTGAGTCAGTCTGCTTGCAGAAGATGATGTGCTGGAGCTCCTGAGGTGAATTTGGGTTCAAGCTGAAGGCTTGAAAAGCGAGCCCTGTATTATGCCGTCCCCTCTAAATTTGATTTTACACACGAGAAACATGTTTATGAAATATAATATAGAGCTATATATAGGTTAGCGATACCCCAAAGCCAACATGGTCAGGAACCGGAATTCAAGAACCAAGACGCGTTGCGTAGAGTAGTGCTTGCAGGGCTTCTGGAATAAGACCTCAGACCCTGAGAGCCCGAAACCCTAAACTCTAAACCCTAAACCCTAAACCCTACACCCTAACCCTAAACCCTAAACCCTAAACCCCTGAGAACCCTTAGGGTCTTGGGCTGAGGGCGGGAGCCACGGCCTGGCAGGAGAAGTCCAGAGGAGGAAGACCTGGCCAGGTCCATCCCTGGGGCCTAAATTTTGCCGGGTTTTGGGGTTTTGGGTTGTTTAAGGTTTAGGGTTTAGGGTTTAGGTTTTAGGGTTTAGGGTTGTTTAGGGTTTAGGGTTTAGGGTTGGGCACTAGGGGATAAGCTTGGGGGGTTGGGCAGTTTTGGCGCGTCGTGGGGCTTGCAGGTTGGGAGATTATAAGACTTAAATGTCTGACAGGCGTGACATACCTCGCTCCTTAGTTCCTGCTAATCGCTACTAACATAGATTAGATAGCAATTCCCCGATGCCCGTAGGACCACAACGCTACAAAAGGAAAAGCCCTGGGACTCGCACCAGCACGCCTTCTTTCTCGAGGATTCAGAGCTCAACGGTCCAGTGCGTCTGAAACCCTAAATTGACCCTGAAGACCCCCCTAGCAACCTCGAAACACAACTCAGGCTAAGGGTTTAGGGGGCGCAAGGGCATCTTAACACTCGAAGGGTATGCCAAAGCCCGAAAACCCTAAACCCCGGCGCCCTAAATCTCCGGAAAGCCTGCAAAGCAACCGAAAGACTACACCGGGCCTAGAGGGCAAGCGTTACAGGGTGTCACAGGCTGTTGATGAAGCATTTTCCGAACTTTTGTAGGGTTTCAGAACTGTTTGAAGCGCCCTAAACCCTAAACCCCAAACCCCAAACCCCAAACCCTAAACCCTAAACCCGAAACCCTGAACCCTAAATCCTAAACCCGAAACCTATACCCTAAACCCTAAACCCTAAACCCTGAAACCCTAGGTAGGATTCCCGGGGCTGGGGGGGGGGTGGGGGGGGGGGGTGGGGGGGGGGTGGGGGGGGGGGGGGGGGGGGGTGGGGGGGGGGGTGGGGGGTTGGGGATCCGGAGAGTCCCTAAACCCCTAAACCCTAAACCCGAACTAACCCCTAAACCCGATGCCAGGAATGGGGGGAAGTACCTATCAGCACCACGTAGATAAAGTAGAGGCCGAGGATGCAGAAGTAGGGAACGGCCCTGGGCGTGGCACTCTGTTCGGGTTTAGGGTTTAGGGTTGAGGGTTTAGGGTTTAGGGTTTAGGGTTTAGGGTTTAGGGTGTCGGGTTTAGGGTTTAGGGCTTAGGGTTTAGGGCACTCAGGGTTTGCGCCCGTGGCGGAGGGCTCTGGTAGCGGCTGAGTGGAGAACTTCGAACCCCAACCCGATTCCTGAAACCCCAAGCCTTAAACCCTGAATTTTAATATTAAAGCCGATTTAAAGTTTAGGGTTCAGGGTTCAGGGTTCAGGGTTTAGGGCTTAGGGATTAGGGTTTAGGGACACCAAGCCCTGAATCCCAAAAGTCCACATGCCCCGGAACTACAAGCCCAAAGCACACCATGTGCTCATGAGCGCCGCGCCCCTCAGTGTTGGCCCTAAACCCTATTCCCTTAGCCCCGAAAGAAACTTTAATCCTAAACTCTAGCGTGTGTGTATATACATACATGTGTGCGTATATGCATGATGGTGTTCTGTGCATATGCATAAACAAAGAAAACGCTATATATACACACACACACATATATATATATATATATAGATATATAGATTTTATATTATGTTATACGATATTATAATATAGTATGTGATATTATATTGTATTATATTAATTAAATTATATCATATCATATGATATTATATTATATCATATATACTCATATGTATCTATCTATATATATATATACTTCCATACATATATGCAAGCCCTGAACCAGCAGGCTGCGGAGCCATCGGCACAGCCGGCCTCGGCTCGATTTTGATGTCGGAGAGGGGCTTGATGAGCACCAGGAGGAAGAGAAACTGAGCCAGGGTTTAGGGTTTAGGGTTTAGGGTTTAGGGTCTAGGGTCTAGGGTTTAGGGTTTAGGGATAGCGTTCAGGGGCTTTCAGGGCTTAACAGGGTTGGGGGATGTTTGGGGGCATTTTAGGATGATAGGGCTGTGGGGCTGGAAGGTCTGGGGCTTATCGGGTTCGAAGGTGGGTTGGGAGGGCGAGGTCTCAAGAGGGTTTAGGGCAGTGCTCGGGGTTCCTGGTTCACGGCTCAGGGTCCATCTCGGCTTAAGCAGCTATAAGGTATAGGGGGCCACGGGATCCTGTTGTGGGCTGGTGGGCTTTGGGCCATCGGGGCGTGCTGGGGGGCGGGGGGGGCCGTAAGGCGGGGGTCTGGTCTCTGATTCCTAGGCCTATGGGCTGAGGCTCGGGGGCACTTCCGAAAACCCAAACACCCCAAACTTCGTTGAAGATCCTCCCCAAACCCTAAACCCTGAACCCCAAATTCTGCTGAAGATAAACCCTAAACCCTAAACCCTAAACCCTAAACCCTAAAAACTAAACTAAACCCTAACCCTAAGCCCAAAATCCAAAACCCAAACCCCAAACCCTAAAGCCTAAAGCCTAAAACTTGAACCCTGAACCCTAAACCCTGAACCCCCCAAACTCTGTTGAAGATCCTCTTCTGGGCCTCGATCGCCCGCCAGGGAAGCATGCCCTGAACCTCGGTAGAAGAGAGAGCTGTGAGGCTGATAAGGCTTTAGGGTTTCGGGTTTGGGGTTTGGGGTTTGGGGTTTAGGGTTCAGGGTTTAGGGTTTAGGGCACCTCTTCAACATAGAATGGGTATTTCGTGTGAAGCAGGCGAACGAACGATAAGATCACAAGAAGAGGATCATCGTGTTCGGGCCAGGGGACGGGGATCCTGTTTGCGACTTAATTTGTAGGCTCCTGCAGTCAGCTCTGAGCTTCAGACATTTCAGGCATGTCATACTGCGCTGGGATTCGCTTGGGATTCATGCTCCCTCATAGAGCACAAAGGCTTGGGACTTGGAAGGTCCGGGTGTGCTTGGTGCGGATTTGGGGTTGCTAGGGCTCAGGGCTGCTAGGGCGGACTGCCCTAAACCCGAAACCCTAAACCCTAAACCAGTCCGCACAAAGGTGCAGACTCTTGTGGCTTCCACGGCGTTGCGGCTGACTCTGAGTGCCTGGCAGCATCACCTAGGAGATCCTGGCATCAGCGGTTTAGGGCTTAGGGTTTAGGGCATTTAGGGTTTAGGATTTAGAAGCCCTACTTTAAAATGAGCTCGAAACAGGGGGACTGTACTCTTCAGTTCTCAGCGGGCTTTCAAGCTTGAAAGGCAGTGGGAACACCCCTGGACACCTAACTCGGAGGCGAGATGACGCTCTTCACAGTGTCGTTTGGTGATGCTTTGAGCAGACTTTGCTGTGAAAAGTTCATGATCTACAGCCCAAAAGATTGAACTTTTTGCAACCATACACTCCCAACTGCCCAGCTAAGAATCTAGGGACCCCGACCCAAACGCTTCTGGGCCCCCGCGCCACCCCTCGACATTCCTCATGGCAACGGTCGCATTTGGTCCGCCTGGGTCAGACTTAACTTGTTGGGAGATATAGGGTTTAGGGTTTAGGGTTTAGGGTTTAGGGTTTAGGGCTGAAGGCTTGGTGGGGTTGATCGGGTTTAGGGCCCTCTATGGCCCGAAAACCCTACTTCCGGGGGTTCAGGATGCCAGGGGCTTCGGGTTTGGGGTAGGGGCTTCGCAGGGTCAGGGTTGACGACTCTTAACCTTAGCTCCCTTCCACGCTGGGTCTCGGATCAGAGCCCAATGTCCTTTGCACAAGCCGTCATTGCACTTGCTCGAAAATAAGAAAGGGTGAGTGCTGGTCTGCACACAGCGACATGCACACAGCCGCACCCAGACACAAGTAACACTCTGGCAAGCAGAGAGAGGGAGAGCGAGAGAAGACGCACCCCTATGTAGGGAAACAGCAATGTACACGCACACTTACAAAGCACGTACATGCTATCTTCTCTTGCTCGCCCGCCACCGTAAGCCCGTGCAGACCGATGGTGCCCCAAAAGGAGCTCATACAACTCCAAGCTCCCAACATCAAAATCGAAAAGCGCAGGGCTTGGGGGTTAGGGTTAGGCAGTCCCACAAACCTCTCCCCAGACAGGGTTTCCCCAAGAATTCAAGCCTCATGCGGGCTCGAGGCTCCCAGGGCTCGGGGTTTAGGGAAGAAATTCTGGCTCTAGACCCATATAGAAATCTACTATTTGGGGGTCCTTACCCATATAAATTCTACTCTTTGGGGGTCCCTTTTGGGGTACCCCCTACCTTCGTAGACCCCCATACAAGAACCCGCAATTCTACAGAAAGGCCCAAGATGCCTGTGGCCGTAGCCCATGAGGTCACGCAGCAACCTGACCACGAGCAGAAACGAGACACCCTCGCTCGCACTCAAAAAAGGTTTAGGGTTTAGGGTTTAGGGTTTGGGGTTTAGGGTTTAGGCAAGGACTTAGGGAATTAGCTGCCCATCCTTCCCCCTGTAACCCTTCAACGAAGGGAATGTACTTACAATCATGAGTCTTCTCAGTATCTTTGATACTGTAGTATATATCATTATAGTGTTACATTGTTATGATTATCGGCCTACCAGCGCACAAGAAAGGTGTACCCCCTGAAGCCATGGCTCCCTTGACAGCCCGGGCCGGACTCACTGCTCATCGTCCATAATTAAGCCCTAAACCAAAACCCTGTAAACCCTAAATCCAACGTGCCCTCAACAACCCGGCGACGCAAATCAACATATTCCAGAAGATCAGCTCTCGAATCATGTCCCAACCTATTGATTCCCGATGATAGGGCGCCATAGGGCCCTAAACCCTAAATCGCAACCCCGCAGATAGTCAGGTACGCCCACCCCAAACAAAAGGAACAAGCATGCATCAGCAGTTCTTCCCAGGCGCTGTTCCGGTAAACTCCGCCGGTTTAGGTTTGCAGGGCTTAGGGCTTTTTGGGGGGCGGGTTAATTGTGTGTTTGTGGGTCTATAGGGTTTAGCAGCTTAGGCTTTAGGATTTTAGGCTGCATCTAGAAACCCAAAACCCTAAAGCCTACACCCCAAACCCTACACCCCAAACCCTAAACCCTAAACCCTACACCCTAAGCCCTAAACCCTAAACCCCAACCCCTAAACCCGAACCCGGCAAGCCCGGAAACCGTAGCTCTCGTTCTCGGGGTCCGGCTGTCCGAACCGGACAAAGATCCAACAGAAGTTCCTAAGTTCGGAGGGCAGGGTTTTAGGGTTTAGGGTTTATGGTTTTAGGGTTAGGGTGTTAGGGTTTAGGGTTTGGGGTTTAGGGTTTGGGTTGAGAGTTCAGGGTTTGTAGACAAAACTTGGTTTTGAGGGACCAGAACAAACGGCCATGTGCGGGTTTTCGACGGGTATATACAGACTATACACGCCATGTGTTGTTCAAGACCGGCGGTGTGTTCTCCACGATCTTCAGGTCGCATGGCGATAGCAGTCACCATGTTCGTGTTCATCCGAGCTTCACTGAACACTTGCTGCACTCACATGTAACAGTACACAAAAACAGCACACCAATGAGCAAAGCTTATTTTGGGATGTAGGTTTCTGGGATCATGATTCATCAGCTAAACCCTAAACCCTAGACCCTAACCCCTAAACCCTAAACCCTCAACCCTAAACCCTAAAACCTAAACCCTAAACCCTAAACCCTAAACCCTAAACCCTAAACCCTAAACCCTAAACCCTAAACCCTAAACCCTAAACCCTAAACCCTAAACCCTAAACCCAAACCCTAAACCCTAATCTGCCCTTCTTGGTTCCCGAAGCTATAAAGACAGAGCACCCGGCCACAGAGGCACACACCAAGGGCGCATGATCCAGCGACGCGCCGATCAGAACCCTCTGAGTCCAACACAGCGCTGCCAGCGTGGCCGCCTGCCGATGAGGCAGGTAAGGGTAACCCTAATTCCTAAACCCTGAACCCCAAACCCTAACCCTAAACCCGAAACCCCTAAAACCGAAACCCTGGTTTAGGGTTTAGGACGAAGAGCTCCGGTTTTCAGGATTTAGGGGTTTAAGGGTTCAGGGGTTCATAGCGTCGGCCTGCCTGGCATTGGGGTCCGTGCCGAGGCTGAAACTAGAAAACGCAAGCGTCGAATTCCTATTTTTCAGTAATTGATATAAACCTCTACAAAACATGTATCCAAGTCGTATATTTGCACATGTACATATTCATATATCACATACAGGATTCTGGGCCTAGAGCTGGGAGCTAGCTTTAAGGCTTGTTTCGGGCAATGCCTTGATTCTTCTGCACCTTCCAACTTGGGTTCCCGATAGATCCCCAGATCTGTGGCTGATACGGTTTAGGGCTTAGGTGCCACCCAATTCCTGGAACCTGTACGACTTTTCCTTCTCGAACTATACTCCAAAAACAAACCTTGGGGTGTGCCCCAAAAACATACTCTGAGTCCTTGATAGGGATTGTAGTACCCCCCTACTATGGTCCCTATTAAGGACTGTTAGTATAAGGGGAAACCAAAACCGAAGGACCGGCCCCTTCGGAGATGTTCTGATTCCAGCTCTCATCCTTCCACCTCGCGTGGGGGCGCTTGGGAAGCATGGGGAGCCTTCCAGTCATACAGGATGAGGGATATGAACCTGAAACGCGCCACCCCCCCCACCTAAACCCTAAACCCTAAACCCTAAACCCTAAACCCTAAACCCTAAACCCTAAACCCTAAACCCTAAACCCTAAACCCTAAACCCTAAACCCTAAACCTTCAACTCTAAGGTCAACTCGGGTCCGGAGGAGGTTTTCGGGGTTGACCAAGGTTTGGGACTTCGGCGTGTCCTAGGATGCTGAAAAGGCCTGATAGGCGCAGCTGAAGGATCAGGTAGGGCTTAGGGTTTAGGGTTTAGGGTTTAGGGTCTAGGGTTTAGGGTTTAGGGTTTAGGGTTTAGGGCTTAGGGCTTGAACTAGCAACAACAAACTTTGGAACCCTAACACAAGCTACAAGCGCTGAACCCCAAGCCCTGAACCCCAAGCTATGAACATTGAGTCCTCAACTCCTGCACTGGTAAGTATGTTTCCGTGGGCTTCTCCGACTAAGTGCTAGAAGGAAATCTTCGACTTTGGTATGCAGAGACCAAAAGTCAACTGTTTTCCATGGGTTGGGGGTACATGGGGGGTGCAGGGCTTTGGGTTTTGGGTCTGCTGTGCCCCTAAACCCTAAAGCCCCTAAACCGGTAGCTGCATGTAGCATTGCAGGGACTTCCTGGTTTACTCTCTATATATACTTTGTAAACCCTAAACCCTAAACCCTAAACCCTAAACCCTAAACCCTAAACCCTAAACCCTAAACCCTAAACCCTAAACCCTAAACCCTAAACCCTAAACCCTAAACCCTAAACCCTAAACCCTAAACCGGAACCCTCCCCCACTGCGCAGGGAGAAGCTCCGGGATGCCAACTGGTCCTCCTCCTCCTGGAACGCGAAGCTGCGATCTGCCTGCGGGTTTAGGGCTTGGGGTTTAGGGCTAGGGTTTAGGGTTTAGGGTTTAGGGTTTAGGGTTTAGGGTTTGGGGTTTAGGGTTTAGGGCTTGGGGTTTAGGGCTTAGGGCTTAGGGTTTAGGGTTAGGGGTTAGAAGCCCTAAACCCTAAACCCTCAGCCCGAAACACTTCAGGCTTTCATCCGCGAGCTCAAGACCAACCTTCGGGTAGCTCTTGTCTTCGGCTTTCTAGGGCCTCCCCTTGCCCCAAAAAGGTCAACCATTTTATTTGAAACATAACCCTAAACCCTAAACCCTAAACCCTAAACCCTAAACCCTAAGCCCTAAAACCTAAACCCTAAACCCTAAACCCTAAACCCTAAACCCTAAACCCTAAACCCTAAACCCTAAACCCTAAACCCTAAACCCTAAACCCTAAACCCTAAACCTACCCAGCCCCTAAGTAAGAGCTTCAGGGTTGAATAGGGAATTATAAGGGCTTGCAGGAATAAATCGGGTTCTTCGGGGGGTTTTTGGGGTTTCATTGGGTTTCCATAAGGGTTTGTAGGGGCTTAATTGGGGTTAAAAGAGGTTTGTGAGGGTTTGCAGGGTTTATGGTCGGCTTTCTGGTATGATGGTTAGCCCCTAGGGTTTACAAGGCTCTAGTAGGGCTTCTGGCGGGCTAATATGCTAGTAGAAGGGCTTATTGGGGCTCAGAAGGTCTTAGTAGGGTGTAGGCCGGCTTTATGATCTCGATTTGGGCTTGCAGGGAATGTCCTTCGCCGCGAGCTGGCTTTCAAAAAGACCTGAAGCGAGAGAACCCTTCGACAGTTTGATCTTGAAAGCTACCCTGAGCCCCAAACCCTAAACCCTAAACCCTCCACCCCTTAGAACATTTTTACAGAAGAATCTTCATGGAAGCCACCAGACCGACAGGAATCACATCTGCGAGTCCCTGGCCTCCTCATCCAAGCCGGCGGAAACCTCGGTGAAGATTGGACTGTCTACGGATCTGTCCTCTCCGGGTTTTTAGGGGTTTTTGGGGTTTAGGGTTTTCGGGTTGGGGGTTTAGGGATTTAGGGTTTAGGGTTACAACGACTCACATCCACAACCTTGAGCAACTTGAACTCCCTGAGTATCCGAAATTCTTTTGACTCCTGCTGCGACTCCAAAACCCTGAGCCCTGACCGTGGAGGCTCACGACTGCGCAACTGGTAGGTTTTAGGTTTTAGGTTTTAGGTTTTAGGTTTTAGGTTTTAGGTTTTAGGTTTTAGGTTTTAGGTTTTAGGTTTTAGGTTTTAGGTTTTAGGTTTTAGGTTTTAGGTTTTAGGTTTTAGGTTTTAGGTTTTAGGTTTTAGGTTTTAGGGTTTAGAGCTACTATTGCAAGCGTCCTGTGCATTGGGTCGCGATCAGAGACCTACAGATCACCCCCACGGCTTTCTTAACCCTGAGCCTGCTCAGAAGACCCGGAAGCTCGCACCTGCTCGTTGCTGCAAAGCCTAAACCCTAAACCCTAAACCCCAAGCCCTATTTCACAGCCACCAAGCCAAGCCCGCCACCGTCGATCCACGCTGGAGCAGCCGCATGGGGTAGCCATGCCCACGACCTCCCGACATCAGCTGCTAAAAAATGGGGGGATTTCGGGTTTAGGGTTTAGGGCTCCTGAACCCTAAACCCTAAACCCTAAACCCTAAACCCTAAACCCTAAACCCTAAACCCTAAACCCTAAACCCTAAACCCTACAAACCCTAAACCTTAAACCCTGGAATCGAGTTCAAAGCCGTGGCCTTCGCCGGATTTCGGCGAGGCCAGCTGTTTGAGGTGATGCAAAGTGCCGCGCATGCGGGAAACCTCGGAGGGTGGGGGGGTGTAGGGCTCCTGGGGGTGGGGTTTAGGGTTTAGGGTTTAGGGTTTAGGGTTGAGGGTTGAGGGTTTAGGGTTTAGGGTTCTTAGGGGGTTTAGGGGTTGCAGGGTTTACGTTGCAGGGTTGCAGGGTTTAGGTTTAGGGTTTCGGGGTTGCAGGGTTTCGGGTTAGGGTTAAGGTCCCGGGTTGAGGCCTTGACATGCAAGGGAACCAAAACCGAAGCTCCTGACAACGGAAACACCGCAAGACCCTCAATGCCCCCGACCCTAAATCCCGAAACCCGACAAAACCTAAATCCCAAGAAGGCCCCCTAAATCTTGAACCCTAAACCCTGCCCAAACCCCGAACCCTAAAACTTAGACCCAAAAGCCTTGGCAACGGTGGGGCGTCTTTGGCCCTCCCGTGGTCCGCCTCGCAGATTTCGGTGTTTCTGGCTTTTGTCCAAGAGTTGCTGCTCGGGTTTAGGGTTTAGGGTTTAGGCTTGAAATTTAAGGTAGGGTGTCTGGCTTGGGGGGTTTCAAGGGGTGGGCATCGACTTCTCGCCTACTTTGGGTGCGTGGTGCGGTTTGCTTGTCTGTGTCTTGACACTTCAGGTATCGGCTAGGACGGTGGTTGAGAGAAACCGGGAGATGCTCAGGGCTTGCGGTCTGGGGGTTAACCCTAAACCCTAAACCCTAAACCCTAAACCCTTTGGGGTGAGGTTTAGGGTTCTTGCTCGGCTCTTAGGGGGCCGAAGACGACAGGCCTTGGGGCCGAGAGGGCAGGAGGGAAGCTCGAAGCAGCAAACACAAGCAGACCGGTTTAGGGTTTAGGGTTTAGGGTTTAGGGTTTAGGGTTTTAGGGTTTAGGGTTTAGGTTTTAGGGTTTAGGGTTAGGGTTTAGGGTCGAGTCGCAAGCAGCCAACGCTGCGCTAACTCAAGCCTATGGTGCCCTGATCATACTACTGTCGTGCTGGAGCCTTTCCAGCCCTAAAAACCCTAAACCCTAAACTTTTCATAAAAGGTAGACGATGTGAGCTAGGCCGTGTGAATTTGTCAACTTCACAGTCGGCATGCCGGGAATGCCACTATGCCCCCAGAAGCTGAAAGAACCCAACCTATCCCGAATAGACACTGATCCACTACAAAACCCTAAACCCTAAACCCTAAACCCTAGGCCTAAACCCTAACCCTAAACCCTGAACCATTTAAAACCCTAAACCCTTTAAACCCTAAACCCTAACCCTAAACCCTAACCATATCTACCCATCCCAGATTCCTGACCCTGCCCTGACCCCAATTTTTTTGGGATGCCTCCCACGACCTCATGGTAGGGGCCTAGTTGCAGAAAATCGTATTTAGGGCAGTTTGCGATTGCAATGCTCGGATTCTATGGGGACAGCAATATTGGTGGTGATTTGGGGGGTTTACGATGATAAGAGACTCCCATAACATAGACCCCCCCCCCAATATACCAGGATCCCCTTGTAATACGGACTCCAAAAAAGTACCCCCAAGATCGTAAACCCCATGTGCGGCTCTACAACCCTAAACCCTAAACCCTAAAATCCTAAAACCCTAATACCCTAAAACCCTAAAACCCTAAAACCCTAAAACCCTAAAACCCTAAAACCCTAAAACTCTAAACCCTAAAAACCCTAAAGCTGTATTAATTGAAGAAGCCCTTGCCGCAAAGGCCACCCGTTTTCTCTGCAAGGATGGGCTCGAGGCGCTCTCGGCGGGGGCACTTTAAAGCGCAGAAGGGCAGGGCGTTTAGCACCCGAAACCCTAACCTAAACCCTAAACCCTAAACCACCTTAACAGGAGTGCGTGCAGAGTGAGGCTGCTGAGAGGCTAAGAGTGTGGCAGCCCAAAAAACCTTTTACATTACGGCCGTTTGGGCCAAAAAAACCTTGAAATAAGGGTCCTTAGGCAACCTTGAGCAAACCACGGCCTTTTGAGTTCAAAAACCTGAAAAAGAGCCCTTAGAGCCTTAGGCTAACCTTGGGGTTAGGGTTTAGGGTTTAGGGCTTAGGGTTTAGGGTTTAGGGTTTAGGGCAGACCCTGAGAGCGCTTTCACGGCCGCTTTGTCGGCTTCTTTGGCTTCTTTGGCTTGGAGAACTTGCTCTTCACCGTGCCGAGCCTGGCGATGGCGATTTCAGAGCTGGCAGAGCCGGTGGAGTTTAGGGATTTAAAGCCCTGCAAGCCTAAACCTTAAACCCGAAAACCCTAAACCCTGAACCCTAAACCCTAAACCCTAAAACCCTAATCCCTAAACCCTAAACCCTGAACCCTAAACCCTAAACCCTAAACCTCGTTGAAGAGTCGTGCAAAGAGGGAAATGACAAGACAGCCCGTCTCCATGGTAGGACCTCTCCCCGCAAGCTCAAGCAACCCTTTCTAGAATCCCAGGTATAACCCCATTTCCCTCAGATACCGAAACTGAAAAACCCTAAACCCTAAACCCTAAACCCAAAACCCTAACCCTCCTGGTAAAGGGAGGCCGGGACATGGCTGAGGCCCTTCTAGGGCCCTGATGTCAACAAAGCTCCACCTCTTCTTCGACTTGAAAGACTCCTTCAGCTGGGACCTGAAGGGAGGGTGGGGGAGGGGAGGCGTTTAGGGTTTAGGGTTTAGGGTTTAGGGTTCAGGGTTCAGGGTTCAGGGTTTAGGGTTCTTATCGTCCACCGTCTATTTATAAAGGGACCTAAGGAAAGATATTTCCTTCGGCCTTATAATTCAAATAGGTTTTTTTTTTTTTTTTTGGGGGGGGGGGGTTCTTATCGTATAAGGGACCCTAAGGGAAGACTAGACTATTTGTGATTATTCCGACCCTACATTAGGTTGGAGGCTTGCGGGGTTGGGAGGTTAAGGGCTTTTGGGGGCAAGGTTTGGGCTGTGCAGTTGAGTTTGTGAGAAGCCTTTCAGTGTTGGGTTCAGGGCAATCAACACCCAAAGCCCTCCTGACACCCTCGCCCGACAGCTGTAAAGCCCTCAAGCCCTGTGGCGCCAGAATCTGCTGCCCTAGACCTTGTGGTACATATACCCCCAAACCCGATAAACCCAAAAACACCATATGAACCCCCCTATACCTGAAGCCAAAAAATTGCATAAAACCGAAACCCTAGACCTTAAACCGACACCAAAAACCCTGTAAACCCCAAACCCCAAACCCTAAGCTCCCAAAAACGCCCCCCCCCCCCCCCCCCCCCCAACCCCAAAATCCTAAAACCCTAAGCCTAACCCCTAAACTCCAAACCCTAAACCCCAAACCCTAAACCCCAAAAGCCCCCCCAACCCCCCCCCCCCCCCCCCCCCCCCCATAAAGAAGGCCCCAAGAGATGCTGCCGCGCGGCAGCTTCGCCTTTTGCTTGCTTGCGGCCGTCTGGGCAGCTTTGGGAAGTTTGCTTTACGGGGAAAGAGGGGTTTAGGGTTTAGGGTTTAGGGCTTAGGTAAGGTTTTGGGGTTTGCAGTTAAACCCTACCGAGGGCTTGGGGCGTACGTTTCGGGAAGTCTTGGGGGCTTTTGCGGTCCAGGGTTTGGGCTTCATGAACCCTAAATCCCATGTCGCAGATGGGAAACCCTGAAGCACGTAGAACCTCAATTATGCGTCTAGGGTTTATAAACTTGAGTATGGGGCTCAGGGTTTAGGGTAAACCCGAAGTAAACACTTTAAATCCTGAATCTATTTCGGGGGGTCTGAGGAGTGTTTGGGGTTTGGAGTTCGGGGATTTGGAGGTTCGAGTGGGTGGTGGGCATACAAGGATAAGGAAACCAAAGGCCAACAAAAATCCAAACCCGGAACCCTAAACAATCCCAAACAATGCCAAACCCTAAACCCTAAACCCTAACCCCTAAACTACACCCTAAGCCCAAACCATGGCACCCACTGCTTTCGGGGGCTGCCGGGGGTGCTGGGATTCGGGGTGGGACCGGTGAGGGTTCGTTTCGGGAGGAGGTTTGCGGTTTGCAGATCCAGTTTAGGGTTTAGGGTTTAGGGTTTAGGGTCAGGATACCCAAGCCGTTTGGAGGCAAGTCGACAAAGTCCCACGGCGTGACCAAAATATCTACAGGAAATCGGGCTCTGCGTTTCAAGGATTGCAAGGATTGCGGAGTTCATAACACTCGGAGGGCGCCGCAAGGGTAGTTTTTTGCTTCGGCTCCCCTTCCGCGAACAGCTTGATACGGCACACTGTACTTCCGAAACTCAGGGAGGTGGAATGGCACGACGCTCTCCCCTGCCTCGCAAAGGCCCTTTCAAAAAAACTGTCTGGTTTCGGGTGTGGTGTCGGGCTTAGGTTTCAGGTTTAGGGTTTAGGGTTTAGGGTTTAGGGTTTAGGGTTTAGGGTTTAGGGAAACCCTAGAAGCTGCCTGTGAGTTGATGCCTCCAGGAGCCTTTTGAGCATTTAGGGGCAGAGGTGTGTGGTCCGGAACTGGGGGGCTGGCGCCGACATACCAATGGCCCTTCAGCTAAGGGTTTAGGGTTTAGGGTTTAGGGTTTAGGGTTTAGGGTTTAGGGTTTAGGGTTTAGGGTTTAGGGTTTAGGGTTTAGGGTTTAGGGTTTAGGGTTTAGGGGTACTCTAGCTCTCAGTTCTCCCCACACCTGCAAGCTCAACACTTTCCAGGGCCTTTAGGTCCCTGCACGAAGCATGGGAGACCTAACCCTTGAAACCCTGAAGCCCTAAAACCTTAAAACCCTTAACCTTAAAACCCTGAAACCCTAAAACCCTAAAACCCTAAAGCCCTAAAACCTAAAGCCCTAAAACCCTAAAACCTAAAACCCAAAAACCCTGAAACCCTAAAACCCCCAAAAACCCTAAAAACCCTAAAAACCCTAAAACCCTAAAACCTTAAAACCCTAAAACCCCCAAAAAACCCAAAAACCCTAAGAAAAGAGCTTCATGGCCGCTCCATCCCGAGTCGATCTGTTCAAGCGGTGGGCTCACAGTGCCCAGGTCAACTCTACAACGTCTCCGCACCTTGCTATGGGCTTACTAGGGTTCCAACATCACCAACTTCAAAAGAATTATAGCTGTTTACTAGTTCTAGTCTTATTTATTTCTATACTACCAAGTATACTAGGGTTTAGGGTTTCATGGTGTTTGTAAGGCTGACAGGGTTCATCTCAGGGAGCTTTTGGGTTCGTACCGTTTTCTTGGGCTCATGCTGTCTACCGGGCTTATGGGTCTCGAGTCTAGAGTAAATAGGGTTTAGTGGTCTGAGGCCCGTGCTTCAAACCTACATGAAACCCAGGCGGCGGGCCACGGTAGGACGCAGCAGTTGCGTAGCAACTACAACTCTAGAACCTTAAAATTACCTTGGTGGTTCAACGAGGGTCGCTATATAATCCCTTTAAAGGGCTAAATAGGGGGGATATCAGCTACGCCCTAATTCTTTCCTTCGGTCCCTTTATGAAGAACTAGGCCCGGTTGCATTAAAGGTTCGGGGCTCAGCGGAAAACCCTAAACCCTAAACCCTATACCCTAAACCTAAACCCTAAACCCTAAACCCTAAACCCTAAACCACGGTACTCAACTCTTGTACAGGAGGCTGTGAAATCCAGCCCGCAGCCTTCGGGTATGGAATCGTCCGCGAAGTCTGCAAGGGACATTGGGATTAGCCATAAGGGGTCCATGTTTTAGGGTTTTAGGGTTTTAGGGTTTTAGGGCTTTAGGGTTTTAGGTTTTTGGGTTTTTGGGTTTTAGGGTTTTTGGGTTTTGGGGTTTTTGGGTTTTGGGAATACTGGGGTACCTAAATAGGCAATACTGGGGTATTACAGCACTGCACCATATACAGGGACTTTGGGGCCCAAGTATACAATAATGAGGCACATGGACCCTTGGGGTAGCGTTAAGGTTTTAAGGTGTAAGGTATAGATGAGACTTTCGGAGTTTGCAATCTTCTGGTCTGGCGCTTGTGTCTGTGCGGGTATGGAGTCGTAGCCCAAGCTCCCGGACAAAGCCGCCATCTTTCACATCACCAAAGCAGGCCCTATAGCCGAAAACCCTACAACCCTAAAACCCTAAACCTCCAGACCCTAAACCCTAAACCCTAAACCCTAGACCCATACAGCATAGTTCTGTAGCTTCCTTGGATGGAGGCCCCTCCTAACTAGAACCCAGAAGCAACGGTACAGTGGTCAACGAAGTTAGCTGGGCAATGCCCGATAAGCCCCAAGTCGGCAAGTAGATGAAGTCATTGTAAAATGCCTTTAGGTTTGAGGGTTTAGGGTTTAGGGTTTGGGGTTTAGGGTTTAGCAGGGTTTAGGGTTTAGCAGGGTTTAGGGTTTATGGTTAAGCATCCGCTTGGGAGTAAGTTGCGTTTGTGCCCTTGCAGCCCTACAGGCCCAACGAAACCCTCAAGAGAGGTTTAGGGTTTTGGGCGTGATGTGTGAAGATGGATGGCTCGAGCATTAACAGACTCCCGCTCGGCTCCCCCTAAACCCTAAACCCTAAACCCTAAACCCTAAACCCTAAACCCTAAACCCTAAACCCTAAACCCTAAACCCTAAACCCTAAACCCTAAACCCTAAACCCTAAACCCTAAACCCTAAACCCTAAACCCTAAACCCTAAACCCTAAGTCAGTAGGAACACCAGCATGTGCTTTCAGAGAACGGGACCGGACACGCCTGTCTTGGGCGCCGGCTCATCTAGCAAGTGCTACCCGGGGCCTTAATCATTATGGTGTTTTGGGGGTTCTTGGGCCTCAATAATTATGGTGTTTTGGGGGTTCTTGGGCCTTAATAATTATGGTGTTTTGGGGGTTCTTGGGCCTTAATAATTATGGTGTTTTGGGGGTTCTTGGGCCTGAATAATTATGGTGTTTTGGGGGTTCTTATAGTATGTGAATATACGGGCCGTGAGGGATTATTAGTAGCTATTCCGACCCCTACATTAGCTGAAGCTACTGTAGCTGCGGAGTGGAGGGACCCTGGCCCAAGGCTTGGGATCACAACATGCTTGGCTCCGAACTGACGGGCCTCACCATCGTGTTCAAGCATAACTTTTACTTAAGTACACAACAATACTTAATGAAAACTACTATCCAGTGCAAAAAACAGCAACATGAAGGAAAACATCACAAACTTTGACGACAACGCTAAACACTCCAGGTCTTCCAGGTCGCATGGTACTTATTCTTCCCTCTTAGTAGGGCAGGGGGGGGGGAAGATGGGGAGGGGAAATTTTGTCCACAAGCCTAGACCCGGAGAATGACAGGAACCCTCAACCCTAAACCCTAAACCCTAAACCCTAAACTTGGGGAGCCACGAGAAGCGGTTCTCAGGTCAGCTGTTGGAAAATGAAGCCCACACAGCACAGCAAGACTACCATCAGGACCTCAGCGTGAGCAGGGCTTGGGAAGCTAAGAGTCCAAAAAACCCTACGGAGCTATAGATCACTTGGGGGTTTTCATGGGGAATTCAGGTTGAGGGCGGTGATTTTGGAGGTTTTGGAGATTCAGGGCTTTAGGGTGTGGGCCTTTAGTGCTTGGAGTTTCAGGCTTCAGCCCTTCTGAAGTCGAGCGGCAAGCTGACAGCAGCAGTGTGTGTTTTTCTCGTAGCGCATGACCTCGTTCACGCGCCTGACTGCCGGTCAATGCCAGGAAGCAGTGGCTTTTTGGGCTTTGGGCATGCTAGAAGCAATGGGTAGCAGGCATGGGGATGATGTGAGCTGGAGCGGGCAGAGAAATAAAAGACAGTTCAATGCGCGGTAGCCTGGTAGGCGCAATATACCAGTGCAGCTCTGCCTGACAATGGTAACCACCGCTATAACTGCCGAGTGTGCTAACGCAGCTCAATGGATCTTAGTTCGGAATTCGATACCCCCTATACCAGGGAATCCCCTTCTAAGCGCCCAGCAAGGCACTGCGCTGAAGTGCCAAGTTTTCAACGCATTCAACCAACTTCTACTCCTAAACCCTAAACCCTAAGCCGCTAAAGCTTATCATGGAACTTCCGGTTAGGTCAAAGAGGCATCACACAGAGTAATTCATGTAGAGGCCGGTTCAGTGCACATAAGCAAGTTATGGGTTCAGGGTTTAAACCCCCAAACCCTCAAGCCCCTCAACCCCAAACCCCTTAAACCCCAAACTCCTCGGCATATAGTCGTGTTTTCTTATGGTTCCTATATAACTATACTATAATCACCCCCCCCCCCCCCCCCCAAAAAAAAAAAAACTATTCTAACCATTAAGCCCCCTATATTACCCATCAGAGGCCGAGTCACCGGTTCAATTGCTGGATGTCCCCTTCGGTCTTGTCCACCTCTGCGCCGAGGGCCTCACGCTTGTCCCACTTGGGGGGAGGGTTTAGGGTTTAGGGTTTAGGGTTTAGGGTTTAGGGTTTAGGGTTTAGGGTTTAGGGTTTAGGGTTTAGGGTTTAGGGTTTAGGGTTTAGGCTTTGGGGAGAAGGGATGGGGGCGGGGGGTGTCTGGAGGAAATTGATCCGGGGCTTGGGCTTGTGCTTTTAGGATTTAGGTTTATGGGGGTTAGGGTGCCCGGAGGGTTTAGGGCAGAAAGGGCTTCTTTAAGTGCTTTAGGGGTGTTTGCAGGATCAGTAACCCTGAACCCACAATCCTTAGATCTGTGGCCCTGGGCATCAAACCCTCAACCCTCAGGCACGCCAATGCAGGAGCCAAGATCATCTCCTCATAACCCCATGATGAATGTCCAAAGTATATACTACCAAAATCGTCATTCTGTTTGAAGTCTTAGGGGTTTGGTGTTTAGGCCCCCAAAGAGCCCTAAACCAACATGCGCCCCATAGCCGGCCTCTGCTCTCAAACGATGGCGTTCGGCCGTCTCCCCTTCGTGCAGGGCGGTTAGAATTTACTGAACACCCCCCCCCCCCCCAAAGAAGAAAAAAAAAATCACCAACACATGCTGCAGCCAACCCTCTAAGCCCTCCATCGTTGTATTTGGCGTGCACAAGGTCCTAAGAGGCTCAAAGCCACAGGCCCTGGCGTCTGTTGAGTTGGGGGTCCGACATCGGGCCCCCCAAGCCCATCCAAGACCCGTCTGGTTTAGGGTTCGGGGTTGCGGGTTTGGAGGCTGTTAAGTTTGGTCATTATAGCTACTAGGAACAAAGAACCCTTACACAACCGACCTGAGATTCTCTGCTGGGAACCAGAAGGACGTGTCGAATTCGGACCTGGTACTCCCGTTTAATCAGGGAGCACGAGGAGTTTGGGCTCAGGGCCTCACAAACGGCTGAAACTTCCGCCCATCTGAAATTCAGAAGCAAACCCCCGCCCCCTCAAGCAAACTACGAGTACCCCCGCTTAGGTCCTGAACATCCCCAACGCCCACCCTGCCTCGAAACCGGGGTTAGGGTATAGGGTTTAGGGTTCAAGGTGTCGGGTTCGCCTACCGTTCTACAGGTTCTTGTTATACAGTCCCTTATAGGACTCTTGGATGACCTACAAAATGTAGGTGTTTTGGGTTCTTAAGGTATAGGGTGTAGGGGTTTTGGGGCTTTGGGTTCTTGTCTAGCACCCCCCCCAAAGTCCGCGTGCCTATCTGGCGCGCCAGGGGATCCAGTCTTCCCACCGCGTGCCCCAACTGCATGCCGTTGCTCGGGGAACTTAGGGGGGAAGGGGAAGGTTGGGGCGGGGGGGGGGGTCAGGGTTTTAGATTTAAGGATTAGGGTTCAGGGTTTGGGTTTAGGGTGGATTTAGGGCGCAAGTAGGGGGTCACTATTGTTGGGGTTGTATAGGGTCATCACGGGATAGAAGTTGTGATGCGGGTGTCAGATCGAGGGCTTCGAGATTTGGAGGTGTTGTCATGCGTAACTCCCAACTTGGTCCAGTTGCCGTAGAAAGCCAGCGCCCCAGATTTGCAAGGAGGTTGGATCTCCGAACCCGAAACCCCTAAACCAAAAACCCTAAACCCTAAACCCTAAACCCCCAACCCCCAAAACCCTAATTCCTAGACCCCCTGACATTCAAACAAACCAAGCCGAACAAAAAGTCGGCTAGCAGCCGCAGGGCGGGGACCTATACCTTCTAATCGCAAAACACAGCTGCTTGAAGGCTGGAAGGCTCAACACTTCACACCGGTTTAGGGTTTAGGGTTGAGGGCTTAGGATGTAGGGTATTGTTTAGGGTACTATAATCCTTGTTGAGGAGTGTTAGTAACTAGTATAAGGGGGAACATCCCAATGCAGGGGTGTCGTATATGATATGTGTGGATGCGTGGGGCGCACAGCGTCCAGCGCAGAAGCCCTCCAGCTTGCAGCGGGTCCGCAACATTAATTAGCCAGCGGTGGTGCACTCCCTAAACCCCCTAAACGCCCTAAACCCTAAACCCTAAACCCTAAACACCCTTAACCCCCCCCCCCCCAAAAAGCCAATCTGTTGAGGGCCTCTTCGAGCTGCTTCTCGATGTCCTCATCCCGGCGCTTCATGGCTGCGAGGGCGTCCTCCTCCTGGCAAGGGGGTGAGAACCCTCAGATAGGGTTTAGGGTTTAGGGTTTAGGGTTTAGGGTTTAGGGTTTAGGGTTTAGGGTTTAGGGTTTAGGGTTTAGGGTTTTAGGATTTAGGGTTTAGGGTCCCAGGGTTTAGATTGACTGAGGCAGGGGCCCAAAATTGGGGCTAACACACAAGGCTTTGTAGGGCTGATTCAGGGTGGTTTAGGGTGCAAAGGGCTTCGGGCTTGCAGCTTGCGGCAGCTTGGGACTGGGCAAAGATCCCACCAAGAGTCTGTTTAGGGCTCTTGGGTTTTAGGGTTTATAGGGCTTAGGGTAAGCCTTCTGGGCTTTTTTGTTGGTGCATTTTCGTCGAACGGAGTCCTGCGCTGTCATGTTCCGCTTCGTGTCCTCCACAACACGTGTCGCTTCAGGGGGTTGTAGGGCTTAGGGTTGTAAGGTTGCAGGGCCCTGCAGGGTTGTAGGGTTTAGGGATGTACGGTTGTAGGGTTGTAGGATTGTGGATTAGGGTTTTAGGATTCGGGGTTTTGGGGATGGATGGATCCTCCAAGGCCCCTAACCCTCAACCTCAAAACCAGTCTTAAGCCCTGAAACGTTGCTTCCCGTTTCCCTTCATCTCTCCATGTCCCCATAATGCAGGAGTTCAGGGTTTAGGGTTTAGGGCCTTTAGGGTTTAGGGCTTAGGGTTTAGGGTTTAGGGAAGCCCCCCCCCCGCGCAAGATTTCAAAGGGAAAAATGACTGATTGAACCCTACAACTATATCACTAAACCTTCCCCCCCTACCCCCTCTCCCTCTCGCTCAGCTCGCAGCCCGAAGCCCTGACAAAGCCCCCTAGACCCCAAACCCCAAACCCCAAACCCCAAACCCCAAACCCCAAACCTAAACCTTAAACCCCGAACCCTAAACCCAAAACACCAAACCATACTTCTTGACTTCCCACGGGCCTCCTCAGAGGCTCTGCCCAAGTCTCTAAGCCCCAGGGTCTTTCCCAATGTGCTTGGCGTGGGCTCCTCTGGGGCTTAGGGGTATGTGACATTCAGGGCTTAGGGCTTAAGGTTTTTTTAGGGTTTAGGATTTTAAAGGTTTAGGGTAAAAAGGGTTTGACGGTTTTAGGGTTTGGGCTTAGGGTTTAGGGACTAGGGTTTAGGGATACTTGACATCTGGGGGCTTAGGGTTATTTGACGTCTTGGGGCTTCGGGGCTAGGATATCAGATGCAGGGCATGTGGTGGCTGGATGGTGTTGGTATGTTTTGGGGCGAGCTCATTTTGCGATGAACAGTAAAGAAACACCCTAAACCCTAAACCACGAAGGTTTGGGTTCCGAATCGTCAGCTGCGCACACTAGCCTGCTCGGTTCCACAGAGTCCTCATGCCTCAAACTGACTCCTAAAACCTGAAAGCCCTGAACCTTAAGCCCTAAATCCCTGAATCTAATGCCTGAAGCCAGATACTACTCAGACCCCTCTAACCCAGGGGGGCTCTTGCTGATGATCCTCATTATTACCACTACGATGACGACGACTGCTACTACGACGACGATAAAGACTACACAACTGCTGCGGGTACTACTTCTACTTCTTCTACTACTTCTTCTACTACTCGCTTCTTCTTTTCCACTTATTCGACTACTTCTACTTCGACTCCTACTTCTAGTGCTGTTGCTTTATGTTAGGTTTAGGGTTTTATGTACGTTCAAGGCTTCGGCGGGGTGTTGTGTAGGGCTTGGCCCCCTGCCTGGCCGTGTGCTTCGCTTTGGCTGCGCTGGAAGAGTTCGTTCAGCTCATCCACGTGCCGCTTGAGCACACGGATGTCCTGCAATTTCACAAAGCTTAACGCTTCGGCTTTAGGGCTTCATGGCTTTGGGCCAGGTCTTGAAAGTTTTTTTGGCATAGATACGTGCCAGGACTAAACAGCCTTCGAGCCAAGCAACTATGGCTCCGGGGATGTGAACTCTTTATGCTCCGCAAGAAGACTGCTGAAAGGGTTTCGATTCAGGTCCGGGGCGTAGAAGATACCGTGTACACAACTCGCAGAAACCCAACGCCAGGGTGTCCGACAGCTTGACCCCGACATTCTGGACCGTAAGCCTATCACTGTTCGCCCCAAACCCCAAATCAGTTTTACACCAAAGCTCCTAAATACCGAAACCCAAGGACCCCACCAAAGCCACACAAAACCTCACAACCCTTCTTAAGACCCCTTCACTAGCTCCCCACACCCCACGCCCCCAAAGAATCCCTAAACCAACCTAGCCCTAAACCCTAAATCCTAAACCCTAAACCCAAAGAACAAAAGAAACGATGGCCTGGTATCTCGCCTGCAGCTCTTCCTTCTTGGCTTTGGCACCCCGCTTACTCTGCGCCTCGCAGTGAAAGGAACTTAGGATCCCCGGGAAGGGGGGGGGGGAGAGTTTAGGGTTTAGGGTTTAGGGTTTAGGGTTTAGGGCTTATGTTTCGGGCTCTAAGGTTTGGGGCTTAGCGTTTGGAGCTTAGTGTTTGGGGTCTTGGCTTTCTGTGAAACAAGGACTAGGGCCAAGGCCTTGAAACTTATTGGGCTGAGGGCATACGAAGTAGGGTATATATGTCTTGTGCCCGCAAAAGGACATCAGGTATATACATTCACCAATACACCAATATTAAAAAAGGAACCTTATATACACTCACCAATCACAGACATATAAACCCCGTGTCATATAGGGTGCCTGGGAGACATGGTGCCCCCCAGGGAACAAAATGGCCTGAATCTGAAGACTGCATAGGCAAATGAACGCTCAGTTCTGAAAACCCTAAACCCTAAACCCTAAACCCCAAACCCTAAACCCTAAACAACCCTGAGCCCTAAACCCTACTGCGCCCGAACTCCAGACCCACGGCCCAACAAGAATCAACGGAAGGGGGCCTTCTTGTGCAAAGCCTGAAGCTTGGGCAGCGCGGCCCTGCAAACGGTAGCAGTTGGAAGGGGGTTTCGGGTGGGTTTAGGGTTTAACCTAACGCATCCCCCAAAACCCCAGAAATCCCCCTGACCTGTCATGACTGCCTTTTTGAACGAGGATCGCGGTTGAGGCTTTGGGGTTGAGGGTTTGGGCTGGAGGATTTAGGGTTCGTTATTCGTGCTCCGGTGCTTCAGGGATATCAGGTTCCCTTGCGAAAAGGTGCGAGGCCATCCTGCAAATGCCATCAGCACTCGTAAGATCAAAACAACAAGTAAACCCAACTATGGATTAAACCTGAACCCTCAAACTCCAAAGCCTCAAGCCCCTATCAGAAACCTCTTGAAGGCAGGCCCATGACATGGCGCCTGAGCTCATCCAAGGCTTGGCGAACTGCGTGGCCTTTGCGGATACTTTCCTGAGCTCTGAGAAGGATTTAGGGTTTTTGGGCATCGGGAGTTTGTTGCGGATGTGGTGCGGGGTTCAACGTTCTCTTGCTGGTGCTTTGGGGGGGGGAGGAGGAATGCATCCCTTCAACTATCACTTTATTTTCCCTAGAGAGGGTTATTGATGCCCATACTCACCTAAACCCAAACCCTAAACCCTAAAACCCCAACCCCGAGACGGTGTAGACACAGGCCTTGTTCCGCAGAAAGCCCCTGGCCCGCCCCGAAAAAAGACCCCACCTGACGGCCTCAAGCTCAAACCCCTAAACCCCAAAACCCCAATCCGTCAAGCCCCAAAAACCCTCAACAGCCAAACCGGAAACCCTAAACCCTTTTAACCCTTTTAACCCTTTTAACCCTTTTAACCCTTTTAACCCTTCTTAACCCTTTTTACCCTTTTAACCCTTTTAACCCTTTTAACCTTTTTAACCCTTTTAAAGCCTAAACCCTAAACCCTAGCACCAAGGTTACGACTTGCAGAGTGAGCCAGGGCTCAGTGCAATTGCCCCGCTTGCTAAGCAGCTTCTGTCGTTCCTGGCTGGGGGGAGCCGGGAGTTGCTTAGGGTTTAGGGTTTAGGGTATAGGGTTCGGACTGAAAGAAGCTTTACGGGTTTCTCAGGGTCATTTTAGGTTTTTGGGGCGGGTCTGTTCAGGGCTTCTTTTTCTTTTTGTGGGGTGGTGGTCAGGGTTTGGGCTTCGAGTTGCGAGTGGATTTTGAGAGCGTTGTTTTTTTTGAGGGGGGGGGGGGGTCCAAGTCTTTGTTGGCATTTCTTTTTCAACCTTTTGCACTCTGCGGTCTAGAGGGGCTAGGGTCTAGAGCGCACGTCTTGTAACCCATTCCGAAGAAAACCCCCTAAACCCTCAGCTTAAGGAATCCTAGACCCTAAACCCTAAACCCTGAACCCTAAACCCTCCCTACACCCCAAACCCTAAACCCTGAACCCTAAACACTGAACCCTAAACCCCTAAACCCCCCAACCCCCAAAACCCTGAGCCCCTAACCCACCGACCAGCCGGTCGAGATCTGGAACTCTGAATGCCTAAGCCCTAATCCCTAATCCCTAAACCCTAAACCCTAAACCCTAAACCCTAAAGCCTAAACCCTAAACCCCTAAACCCTAAACCCTAACTAAACCCTAAACCCTCAGACTGGAGGGCACCTTCTTCTCATCGTGGCGCCACGCTTAACACGGCTTCGGGGGCTTGGACACACACACACACACAATAAAAAAAAGGAGAGAAGGTCTAGGGTTTAGGGTGTAGGGTTTAGGCTTTAGGGTTTAGGGTTTAGCCAACATCACCAAAAAACTCTTTTTACCGGGTCATCCTGTTTCCAGGGCTCTGTCCAGGCCGGAGCCACATGTAGGGCACTCATGACAATCTTTGACCGATCTCGTGCAAGTACGCGCACTTTTTTGTAAGCCCAGACACCCCTAAACCCCAAATCCCCAAAACAAAGGAGTGCAAAGCTGGATGCCCCAAACACTAAAGCCCTGAACGCAAGAGGAAACTCAAGCCTAATCTCCCTGGTTCTTAGTGCCGGAATGAGGGAAATGGGGGCCCTATATATACCCTTTAAAGGGATTACATAGGTACCTCATTCCCTCATTCCCACGAAGAACCTGCCTAAATCCTGGCTGAGTCGCATGGATGTCGTTCCTGCCCTGCTCCAGCAAGGTGTACACCTGGTCCGAACGAGCTGCGTTCGGGGCCAATCGGGGCCGATGACCTAAACCCTAAACCCTAAACCCTGAACCCTGAACCCTGAACCCTCAACCCTCAACCCTAACTGTAGAGCCCATCAGACCTAGTAGTATCAGTAATATGTATCTGGAAAACTCGAAAACTTGCGGTGCCTCATTGGGGTCCTCATTGTATGGGAGTCCACGTATTGGGGGATCCATTTTCCGAATAATTAGAGCTGGGGGGGGTTTAGGATTTAGAGGGTTTAGAGGCATTGAGGGTTTGCAGGGTTAGGGGGTTTAGAGGGTTTGGGAGGTTTAGAGGGTTTCGGGTTTAGAGGGTTTAGGGTGTGGAGGGTTTCGGGTTTAGGGCCAGGGTTTAGGGTTTGGGGGTTTAGGGTTTAGGGCCAGGGTTTAGGCTTTTTTACCAGAAGAGAACCCAGTCATAGTAGCCAGCTGTGCCCCCCGGCGCGCTGCTTGAGTCGCAGGAACTCATCCTTGGGCTTGTCCTCAAGGCTCCAGAGGGTTTAGGCTTTATGGGGTTAGGGTTTAGGGTTTAGGGTTTAGGGTTTAGGGTTTAGGGTTTAGGGTTTAGGGGTTAGGGTTTAGATGTTTCCGAATTTCCGAAGCCAGGACTTTGAGGGTTCAGGGTCAGCTTCTTGTTCGGGTCTTATGGGTTTCAGGGTTTAGGGTTTAGGGTGTAGGGTTTAGGGCTCGGATGGTTTCAGGGTTTGGGGGCTCTGGCGTTTCAAGGTCTTGGAGCTCGACAGGTTTGAAGGTCAGAGCTTAGGGGTATGTTTGAGGGCTCGAAAATCGTTTCGCGTGCCTTGAGGTCAACACCTTAAGACCTTAACCACTGCCGTACCTGGATGTCCTGAGGGAGGTTTGGGGTTTGGGGCCTCGGGGTGGGAGGTTCGCTGAATACCCTGAATCCCAAACCCTAAAGTGTAAACCCCAACCCCTAGACCCCAAACCCTCTAATTACCTAGACCCTAGTGGGGGTTTCAGGTAACCCCCTTAATCCCGCGTGAGCGGGACATCTGAAGCGGTCCTCCTTAGACTTCTGCTCACCGCAGGCATCTGCAATGACTTCCAGTCGCCTGGCAGTGAACCCTCAGATCAGGGTTTAGGGTTGAGGGTTGAGGGTTTAGGGTTTAGGGTCAGGTTCTGACTTGGTTCTGGGGTTTTGGGAGTTTTGGGGTTTTCGGGCTTTGGGGTCTTGAGTTCTTTATTTCTATTGTTGGGGCCTGAGCGGGGCTCCAGTGAGGTAGTGAGAGGATCCCGACTCCTAAATCGCCCAGGAGATCTAGACTAGTTCATGGTTGGAATAGTATTAAACTGCAAATGTCTGTTCCTTATTGAGTTTTTTAAGTACCCTTAAAATATAACATGTTACCCCACTGTGGCAAAATAGATGGGCCGGGCCACTTGATGAGGTCGCCGATGCCATGCAGCTGCGTCTTCATCCGGGAGGATCCCCCAAAAGACTATGCCAAACGCCTGAGCCCTCTAAACCCTATGCGGCCCCTAAACGCAGCAACATGCAGGTCTAGTGCTGTTCTTCTGAGCCTCAACGGCAGGAATGTGCCTTTAGCGATGTTAGTCCAGCTTTTTTTTGTATCTGTGCAAAAGGTTCTAGGGTCCAGACCACGTCCCCACCCAACCGGGGGTGCCTTTGGGCTTGAGAGACTTTTCGATGCTTTAGAGCTTTTGGGTTTTGCCTAAGGCGTGCTATCATCAGGCTCCAGGGGTGTATGTTGAGGGGTTTAGGGTTTAGGGTTTAGGGTTTAGGGCTTAGGGTTTCGAGTTTAGGGCTTGCAGGTTTTGCATGGGGTCTAGGGCTGAATGTCGGCTTTGCCGGGCATGCCTTCATGAGTCTGCACCCCTGTCGGTCAGAAAAGCTGCAGGCAACGGGACCCCAATTGTTGTACCCCTGAAAAACCCCATTTTAGGGCGCCAAGCCTCCCTAGCCTACACCTTAAAGTGAAATTGGACAGTCCATGGCATGACCCAAACTGTTTACGAACTCCAAAGACTGAACCGCAAACCCCCTATGCACCCACTCTATGCACCCTCTCTGGGTTCTCCTGTTCGTTTTCGTTTCAAGATTGTTCGGACTCAATGCGGACCCCTCCCCCCAAGCATACCCGCAACCCTCAGGCCTCAACCGCCTCAACCGCAAAGCCTTCCTAAAACACCAACTGAAGACACCAAAACCTAAGCCCAGAAGACCCTGAAAACATTCACCCCACCCCTCCCCACCTCCGAGCCCTAAACCCTATTTAAACTCTAAGTCCTGTAGACCCTAAATCCTACCCTAAATCCTACAAACCCCATAACCTGTAGACCCTAAACTCTGTAAAGCCCAAAACCTGTAGACCCGAAACCCAAAGACCTGTAATGGGGGGGAACTAGATTCCCGGGGCAGAGGGTTCCACTTGTAGGCTACATTGAAACCGCCCTATGGGTTTCCCGACATTTGGCCATTCCGCAAAAGGGGAGGGGGGGGGGGGGTCCCTGTGCCCTCAACCCCCCCTCCCCCATACAAAAAACATTTGAACGCTATAAGTCCTAAACCCTAAACATTCTTCCATCTCTTCACGCCTAACCTTCAGCCATAAACCCTGAACCACAGTCCGAGTTGAACAACAAATCCAGCCGCCAACGCATGCACAGCCGGCCGGCCCTACACACAACTTAAGCAAGCACACAAGCACGCAACCTATACCTATAAGCCTATAACCCTAAATGCGCCAATCGCCAATGGGACCCCGAAGCCCCACACCCCGCCCCCCCCAAGGGTTTACGGTTTTGGGGTTAGGGTTTGGGGTTTAGGCCTTCAAAAAAACAACTAAACCACCCTCGAAACTTCCCCAAATCCAGAGCGTTTCCCTGGCCTGCTCTTTCTCTTTCTGGAGCCTTGCGGCGTCGGGGGGCTAGGGTTGGCGAGGCTTGATTGATGCTTAAGGCTTATAGGGCTTAGTTTCTAGAGTTTAGGGTTTGGTACCCTAATCACTAGGCCCTTAACCCGAACCGTACTTGAACCCTACACTCATCCTTGATGGCACTGAGTCGCCTGGCTTCAATCCACATCTCAAGCCCGAAGCTTACTTCGAGATCATGTTCCCAGCTAGGTGCCAGAGTAGCCCATGAAGACAGAAAAGGATTTCGGGCAAACAACAGCAACAATGAACCTATGCGCTACAAGGTATACAGGGGTGCAGGCGCAAGAGATGCGAAATTGCGACACTTCTCGGCTTCTGTGCGGCAGCCTCATGTCAATCTTGCCTGGGCTGAGAGAGGCAGAAGAGCCTTTTGCATGACAGAGACTAGCCCACAAACCCCAAAACCCCACACCCCGAAACACCAAAACCTCAACTTCCAAAACCCTAAATCCCCAAAACCCGCAAAACCCTGCAACCCAAAACCCCAAAACCCCAAAGCCCTTTTTGCAGCTTAAGGAAAATGAAAGGGCTCCCCCCAAACCCGAAACCCTAAACCCTAAACCCTAAACCCTAAACCCTAAACCCTAAACCCTGCCTGATGCTGTTCCTCAGATGCTGCTCCAGGGCGCCAAAGGGATCGGCCTGGAACGCCTCTGGCAACTGGGGGGTTTGTTGGGGGTCTTGGGTTTCGGAATTAGAGTTTCGGGTTTAGGGTGTAGGGTTCGCGGTTCAGGGTTTACGGCTTCAGTGGGTCTAGGCTTCAGGGTTCAGGACCTTTGGCGTTTAGGATTTGGACCTTACGGGTTAGTTCCTTTGAAGAGCACTTGGAAGCTGTAGCCAGTACGTATATGTCTTGCATCACCTTGACACTCAAGTTGTCTGACGAGGGGTCGGGTACTCGCAAGGACGCGGATGCCAGAGCATACGAAGCACCTACCTAAGCTGCGCACGCAACTGCCCTGGCGCCGTACCCTGCATAATCCATCAAAGGGTCTTGCAGGAAGTATATTACCTAATTCCCTAAACCCTAAACCCTAAACCCTAAACCCTAAACCCTAAACCCTAAACCCTAAACCCTAAACCCTAAACCCTAATGAAGAAGGAAGTCAGCGCCTCCACCCTGCTTCAGCTCTACGCCCCTCAACCTCAAAGCAACCAGAATGCACTAAACTCTGAACACAAACGAAGCGCAGAAACCTAAAAACCTCCTCTACCAAACCACCCCAAACCCTAAATGCTCCTTAAACCCTGCCCTAAACCCTAAACCCAAAACCCTAAACCCTAAACCCTAATCCCTAATCCCTATACCCTACACCCTAAACCTATACCAGTCTCGGCCTTGAAGCCGAGCACGCCCTGAAACTGAGCCATCTCCCTCTCGTCCTGCGCAGCCTGCGCCTGGCTTTCTTGAAGGGTCGGGCTGGCAGGGTTTAGGGTTTAGGGTTTAGGGTTTAGGGTTTAGGGTTTAGGGTTTAGGGTTTAGGGTTTAGGAATTAGGAATTAGGGTTTAGGGTTTAGGGTTTAGGGTTTAGGGGTTAGGGTTTAGGGCTAGGGCTTAGGGTTTAGGGTTTCGGGCTTGGGGTTTAGGGATCAGGGCTGGCTTCAGAAATTGGTTGTGGCATGTGGTGGTTGCCTTAGGCCTTAGTGGTAGGACTCAAATGCTGCAGACGACTGTAGAGGTATTGTCCTCCTCGTCTAAAGCCATCGATTCTAAAACTCTTAATCCCCAACCACCCCTGTGGCAAAATGCTCTAGTGCTCAGGGCTTGCATGACAAAACTCGCACTGCCCCACCTTGTCGTGCGAGCCTGCATGTGCAGCAAAGTGCACTTCGGAGACTTCTGGACGGAACTTCTGTGCAAGCCGGCGCAGACACAACGGCACCGCTCGCACCGGCTACGATGCAAAACCCTCGAAAGAGGACTGGCAGCAAGTCTTATCTGACCGCGTGTCATTCAACACCCCAAACCACACAAGTCAACTTCGTGTCATGTGACAACGCCCCCCGAACCCCCGGAAACCCTGAAAGCTTCCGAAAGCGGATATGGCCTGAACTTCCCCAAGCCCCAAAGCCTTGAACCCCAAACCCTGATACACTAAACCCGAAACCCTAAACCCTGAACCCCAAACCCTGGACCCTAAACCCGAAACCCTTAACCCTAAACCCTGCTAAACCCTGAACTCTTGCGACGGAATCTCCAGCCTTTCGCCCCAGTCGCTTGGGTCCCTTGGGCGCAGCGGGCGCTTTGTCCTTTGCACCACGTACAAGGCTTAGGAGTGTAAGCTTAGGATTGTAGGGGTTTAGCTTAGGGCCTAAAAGTCTTTGAGGGGTTTTCGGGCCCTCTAGGAGTTTTAGGGTTTAGGGACTTGGGGCTTAGGATCTATAAGGGCGCTTTACGGCGATGTCTTCCCATTCCTTCTGATACCGGTGCACGAGGGTTACAGGACTTAAGGGTCCGTGTACCCATCTACTAGAGAATTGGGCCCTGAAGCTACTGTATAGGAACCCCTAAACCTTACACCCTAAAGCCTAAACCCTAAACCCGAAACCCGAAATATGTGGGGAGGTTGCAGCTGAAGCCAAGTCTGCGGCCAGCCGTAAAACTCCAATGCTCCGACCCTGAACCCTCACTCAAGCCCCTGAACCCCCTAACCCTAAACCCTAAACCCCAAACCCCAAACCCTAAACCCCAAACCCTAAACCCTAGCCCTAAACCCTAAACCCTGCACACCCTTAGGCCGTCCTCCTCAAGGTGCGCGGTGAGCTCAGAGAGGTTGGCAAGACTACCGCTCTTGAAGGCCTCTTTTCTGGGTGTCCTTAAGGGTTCTAGGGTTTAAGGAATCCATATTGAGGGTTTTGGGTTTAAGGTCCTTGGTTTCTAAGGCTTTAAGGCCTCTTTTCTGGGGTCCTTGAAGGTTTTAAGGGTTTAGGGTTTATCTTTTAGGGTTTAAGGTTTTAAGTGTTCTAGGGTTCTAGGGTTGCATATTGAGGGTTTGGGTTTAAGGTCCCAGGTTTCTAGGGTTTCATGCTTTTTGAACGTTCTAAAGGCGCCAGAGTTCCCGGGTTTACAGTTCTATCCAGTGTTTTGAAGGGGTCCAGGGCATCGGCCCTGTACCAAAGAGTGTTAGATTGAGTTTCGCAAGAAGTGTTCCCTTTTAAGGGCCCTCCCTATCCTACCTAGGAAGACGAACGTCTCTCGAATCCGTCGGAGATCCTAGGGTGCCGACGGTCAAATTCATCTTGGGTTTAGGGTTTAGGGTTTAGGGGTTTAGGGGTTTAGGGGTTTAGGGGTTTAGGGGTTTAGGGGTTTAGGGGTTTAGGGGTTTAGGGGGTTAGGGGTTTAGGGGTTAGGGGTTTAGGGGTTTAGGGGTTTAGGGGTTTAGGGGTTTAGGGGTTTAGGGGTTTAGGGGTTTAGGGGTTTAGGGGACCAAGACCGATGCAACGCCCAGGCTTCAGGTTCTTGGGATTCGTGCTTTCTGGAGGGTGTAGGGTTTAGCGTTCTAGGGTTCATTTATGTTTGA